CCCTCAGTCCTGACGGTTCTGGTTCGTAAACGACGACCGGCAGACGAGTACTTGTTAAAAATGGTTCTCGGCGTATGAGACGAAGACGGTCCGTGTCTTCGCGATGTGTCGTCACGGGAGGTCTTCCGGATCTGGGACGGTCCTGTACATCACCGGTCTGAGCATGTCTCTCGACTAAACGGCTAAGGAAAGTGTGATGATACCCTAAATTCCGACCGATGGCATTACAAGACATTCCTGCGTTAACCGAGCTTAAGAAAGCAATTTTTAGAGATACTCGAGGGTAACATGCTGCACGGGCATACAATGCATGGCACGTGAGCTTTCGTCACGCATGATTGATTACATCATCTCGAGAAAACATAATTCTTCCCGTAATCATATCTTTTAAAACTGTTGCAAATATTGGGACCAAACAATAATGGAATATATTAAGATGTGCTTAACGTTTTTCTTTGTATATGTAATGAATTTTAATGAATAACTAAAGTAAAGTGTTTCAATATAAGATAAAATTGACAAATTTAACATTCACACGGAAGAAAGCACCATTTTCTTAACTGCCTATTATTTACTGTATGATTTACCTACCACAAAGCATACTTAGTCCTAAACCTACGTCTCCCCTGAGGAAATTCTAAACAAACTATACTGAACCGCAAAAGAAACGTCACCATGGATAGATATGTGAGAAAGCTTATTTGTCCAAACACTGTAAACATACTTTGAGAAAGTAAAACTTGGTGAAACTTAGCAAAACTGATCATCAAGGTTGAAATTAAAGTGTCAAATGTACTTAAAGTGAAACACAAGAGAATCACACTGAGAAAATGGCATCACAAGTCAGTATCGCGTGTGTCCGCCATGTGCATTGATGACTGCCGTGCAACGTCGATACATGGAATGGATGAGGCAGTTGATGAAGGCCATAGGCACTTGAGCCCACACTCTGAGAAACGCCAGTTCAGCTGCAGTTGTCGACCTTGGTCGGACGTCATTCACACGCCTTTAAATCCCGCCCGACAGGTACTCAATGGAATATAAATCGGGACTGAGGGCAGGCCACTGCATGGTTCTGGTGCCATTCTGCTGGAGGAAGTCTCTCGTTGCTCTCGCAGTGTGGGCAAGGGCGTTATCATGCTGAAACTCGTAGTTGCGGCGACATGCCAAATAAGGTATGGCGTGTGGTCTCAAGACTTGATCAATGTACCGAGCTGCTGTGACACCATTGCCTCTCCCTGGACCGATGTTCTGGAAGACCACAGGGCTGACCCTCTGTACAAGACCAATGATGCTCGAACCACCCCATGAGTCTCACTCAACAACATAAGCATCCGAATAACGTTCCCCACGGCGTCGCCAGACTCTCTCTCTCTCGGCCATCTGCTGTTGGGATACAGTAACGGCTCTCGTCTGAGAAAAGGACTCTTCTCCACTGCTGGTGGCGCCAATGTTGGTGCTGTGTTGCCCACTGAAGACGGTCCCGGCAATGACGTGGTGTCAGAATTGGTCCTCGGTGTGGCCTGTGACAGTGGAGATGTCTGCACGTCAATCGTCAACGTACGGTGTCGGAACTAATGTGTCGCTGGTGTGTCCCCATGGCCTGTCGAACAGTTTCCGCAGCAGTAACAAAGCGATCTTGAAGATGCTGTCGCACAATCTGACGATCCTGATGTCGGGGGGTGACCCTTGGTCTTCCACTACATGGTCGGTCATCTGTAGTGTTGTTGGTCTGGTACCGTTGCTGGAGCTTGTATATTTTCTCGTTACTTCGAATATTAGCAATATGTCTGTGTCAAAAACTTGAAATTTCGATGTTTGTATGTAATGTTGTATATATTAATTAAGTGTTAGTACTTTAGATAGATGTATTATGGTATGGTTAAATTAGTATATTAATCTTGGCGGGGTGTTTTTAGATACTGTCAGGGGATACTATGGGAACAGGTTAAGTTCAGGGAAGCGTGACTGGGTAGGGCTGATTGCTGGGGAGGTAATTCATGTAACGATAGGGAGGTCAGGGTCAGCTTGGAGTATGGCGTCAGTTTAAATTGCGGGGCGGGGTAATGATTTGTACAGTCAGAATCAGTATGTTGATAGGAGGCATAGACTTACATTGTGGGAGCTTTCTACTCCAGTTGGCGTAAGTTTTTACATTTATTTGTTTCATGTAGGATTGTATTTTAGAGAATAAATTTTTATGTTATGCATTGTTTTAAATGTAATTATATACATATATTGATTGTTTTTTTCTTTAAGCCACTTTAAAAATATCAACAACAACCTAAACAACATATGATTAAAGTATAAAATAGTTCCACTCTGTGAAATGTAAATCGGAGTATTGATGTATTGTTGTATGCATTGTAAGGTATTGGCACGTACCTAAGTGACTATAGTTACTGATATTGTATTGTAGTGTCCCGGAACTGGCTGGTCATCCCTGTAACTGTAAGAAGAGAAGTGTCTCAGAACCTCTGTAAGAAGGGGAGAAAGTCTCCGAACCTCTGTAAGAAGAGAAGTGTCTCCGAACCTCTGTAAGGAATGAAGTGTCTCCGATTAGTGTGAGCATCACACAGCATACCTCTGGGGGAGTATACAACGTAGGATGTACACTGACGTGACATCCATATTATGGGCACCCTCAACTCCGTGGGGAAACCATCGCCTGGGGTGAAGACCACTCTATCACTATATACAGGAGGTTTCCGCTTGTGGACTGAAATAGTACATTGACATGAAACTCTGGGAGATTATGCATGTAGCTAATGTGAAAGAGACAGTGGAGTGTGTTTGTTGTTGTTGTTTTATATAAGTACATTCATGATATTATTAATGTGTATTAGTTGTGTTATTATTTGGACATTTGTATGAGTGTTGTGTTAGTATTGTTAGAAGTAGACTATTAGTATTAGTTTAGAAGTATCGTGATAGTTGTATTGTTAGTAGTAAGATATTAGCATAAGTAGAAGATATAAGTATTGTTGGTAGGATATTCGTAAGAGAAGTAGGCTAGGATAAGTTAAGTTAGTATATTTAGTAGTGTTAGTAAATTTTGAATTAGTTTGCATTTACGTATTGTTATTTGGGGTTTAAAACATCACTAAAAGGAGGGAATAAATATTTAAATATAAAAACTTAATTTGTGTTTGTGGTTATTTCAATACGTGACACACCCTACCCACACTTAAGCACACGGTAATAGATAAGATGTGTACGTCTTGTACACCCCAAGATAATTAACAATGGGTCAAAAGGCTAACCGTACTAAAAATAGACAGGTCTAGCGTCTAATATATTGAGAACTTTCAATTTTCCTCAGAGATTATGGTTAGTTTGACTTTTTTTCCACGTGCGACATCCGGGGAAATTGAACTGTAACTGTGATATCAACGAGTTGGAGCTCGAAGCGGCTGGCTGATCAGACAACCCTGAACACCTGATTTTCAGTAGTTCATTCATATAATTTTCACACCTTTTTTGCCCTTTACGCCAAATGTAATCTGGATTGGTGGATAATCTGAACTGATTATGCTCTTGCATTGACCATTTATATTAAATTAAAATGTAACGTCGCATCGGCATTATTTCTGCCATATAGCGATTGAACGGGTGGAACGCTGACGTAACCACATGGGTTTTCTGAAATTGTCAGCAGGTTAATCGGTACTTCAATCAGAATGAAATTAGCTAATTGGAAATCAGTACCTGGACATCAGCAACTGTTTCAAATACTAGTCATCGAACCAATAAAGATAGCTTTATATAAGTTGTAATTACATGTACATACGGCAGCTGAAACTTCAATCATCAGTGATAAAGCCCATTTGTAAATACGACACAATAAAAATTTAGATTGAATCTGATTCATATTTGTATTGAAACATATACTGAACGTTTTGAGATCATGGGTGATTTGGGGAGATTTATTTTGTTAGTGAAAACTGAGTTTCTATAAATGTGTACTATACGGTATATAAGCATATTTCATCATCCTTAACTTGTTTTGTTCAGTATAGTTATCTGGCTACTGGATGACGATCAAATAAATTCGTTTAAATGAACTGCGGTGATTTATTAAAGTGGGCCAATATAGAAAATGCGAGACATTTTCATCCATTCATTGATCGCATTCATTCTGATAGCAGTCAATTGTAATAACGTTTGACGTAAATTGCAATAAACATCGGTACAATCTAATAACTGCCGACCTAAATTGGAAATAAAACTTCTCTCATTCCTTCAATCTCCAAAGACCTTGGAATTCCAGTATTTCGTCGACTTCAACGCCCATTTACCTTTATGATGTAAGAGAAAAAAAAGGGGGGGGGGGGGCAGGTAGGGCAGATAGACCGCGGGCTAAGCCCAAGGTTTATCTGCCCTACCTGAACCCCCCTGCGGTCTATCTACATGCATCAAGACCAAGTCTGAGGACCTTAACCGGCTTATAAACTGAGGGAATATGGGATTTTAAGGAAAAATCTGTAAATTTCTCATTTGAAAAATACTCACACCCCTGTATGAAAATGAACTGAACCAAACGATTTCTTTAGATAGCTACACAATTTCAAACGCTATTTTTTAAGGATCGTTTTAAAAAAGAATCTTTTGTAATATTTTGAGTAATCAAAAGTCCGAAAATGTTTTCCTTTAACACTGTACTGTAAAAGTTGACAGTTTATACAAATGTGTCATCTCGGGCGACGCAGCGTATCACGTGACATTTTGCACGCGCAGTTCATGACTGTCATGCATACGAGCACATGTTATCGCGTTGAGACAGCGGCGTGTGACACACTGCCAGTATCGTGAGACGATATCAAGTATCATGGAGTTTGACGAGGATTTATTTCTGACTCAAAGTAAGTTTATTGATGAAGAGAAAACAGAAGATATTGAAGGTGTTTCTGTTTGTAAACCTCTGCAGTTTGGCGACCCTGTAGATATAGAAAGAATCCATTGTATGGTGAACGAAGCAACACCGGGGGACACCATCTACAAGTATGATTGGGCTGTTTCTCTATTTCGTAAATGGCAAAAATCACCGTCTTCTTCTATCAATTTCTGAAAATTTGGAACTGTCACGAAATTGCTTGACCACGAATATAACTGATATGCCCGACGCTTTATTAAACGAGGCCTTGCAACATTTTGTATTTGAGATCAGACGTGAAAACGGTCAAAACTACAAAAGTCAATCCCTGCATGGAGCATTTTGTGGAATTCAATCGTACCTCCGCTCGAAGGGAAGACTGATAAACTTGTTTGAGGATGAAGCTTTAAGAGATTGTATAAAGGCACTTGATGCTAGTATGAAACGTTTGGCGGCATCGGGTCATGGACCTGGAAACAAAGATCCCTCCAACCAATCACTGTAGAAGAAGAAAACGAGCTGTGGGAGAAGGGTACATTGGGGGAGAATAATCCGACCCAACTTCTCCACACGATGGTCTATCTCACTGGTCTTCACTTCGCCTTACGTGGGGGACAAGAGCACAGACATCTTCGTCTTCGGGTGAGACCACAGATCAAAGGGCCATTTCCTAACTATCTTCCAAACGACGATACTTAGTATATCATGAAGATGTGTCCAAGACAAACTCTGGAGGCTTAAAGCACCGAAAATGTGTTCCAAAAGTGGTGAAAGCTTTCGAAAACTCAGCTGATAAACAACGATGCTATGTGCGATTATGGGAAAAGTACACATCTCTTTGGTAAGTTGTCTTATAAATAAATTTCAATCGTGGTTGAATTAAACCGACTAGATTCTTTCTTTTCGCCACATAGATGTCGAATTTATGCTCGAAAAAACAATATCAAATCGAGTATAATTTATGTCCTTTTTGAAGGACATTAACAGATACATGTACATGTATATATTATTTTAAAAATCTGTACAATTATCAAGGTTAATAAACTTTTAATACTGTCTGTTTCCATATTTGAAAGTCACGTTATAAAAAACAGAAATTATTTGAAAAACTGTTTGTTTCAGTCCCAATAGCAGTAAGATTGACACCTTCTATTGAAACCAAAGCCAGATTGCTGGTACATGGCATCGCCAGTAGGACACAACACCTTGAAGACAACCGTGAAGAAACTATGTGAAGCAGGCGGACTGAGTGGGAAGCGAACCAACCATTCCTTGAGGGTGTCAAGTGCCACTAAGACTATGATGCCCGAATTGACGAACAACAAATCTGTGAGCAAACGGGTAAGATTTATGAAATTTAAAAATCTTGTATTAGTGTCCTTGCCATTAATGGGATAAGAAGAAAATGAGTCAACTATAGAACAAATTTCGATATGTATCGGTCTATGCGAAATACCTTTTTATAACCATATTTACTTCACATCATTCTGTCTACAGGGCATCGTAGTTCTGCAGTGAGACTGTACAAGAGAACAAATTCTGCGATGCAAGCGGAGGTTTCAGACATCTTGTACGGCAATTCGAAGAGGAGTAAAAGTGCGACAGAGGCGTCCTCAAAGTTCGTCGAATCGGTAGCGTTAGAAGAGAAACCCAGCACAGTAACTACACCCACTGTCGCTGTGCCAAGCTCGAGCAAGGACGAGGAAACCCAGAAACATCCAGTCACCCTTGTTGTCAATTTTAACATGTAAGTTGATGATATTAAACTGATTAAGAAAACGTTGTTTATTGTATTTGAAAAGCAGTCATGCTCAGGTCAGTAGGTCAGTTTAATGTTCAAAAGTAGATCAATTTGCATCAAATATTATTTCTACATGCTTTCTCTACTGAAAGCAAGACTGCTGACAGAAATCTAGTTGAGCACACCTGGACGTCACCAAGGTAGGTCTATCTCTGGTCTAGGAGACCTCATCTGTGATTTAGAGGCCTCATATGAGATCTTTAAATCACAGATATACCTCGAACGAGGTCTCTAAGTTACCTCCAGGTTATGGCACGGTGCTAAACAAAGGGATGACGTCGACAAAGGTTATAAGGGAATATGAAAGTTGATGTTTATGGATCAGTTGTGCGTAATGCTGCCACGATTGGTCAAACATTTATTTCCTCGACGAGGCATACTGCGTATGAGTAGCCCACTGGCGATTTGAGAAAGTCTGTCCCACTCCAAGTTCACTCAACGTTGTCGGCGGCATATGGCGCTATCTCGCAATTGTTATGGATACTGACTATTCGTGCACGGTGAGCACCGGCGTTGTCACCCTGAAAGACAAAACGTCGACCAACACAGGACAACAAAGGGTGTCAGTATGCACAATATGGAGTGGGGTTCGCTCAGTCATAATGATGCCACCCCACACCATAAACAATCCACTGACGATTCAGTCATGAGGTCTCACTGGCTCTGTGAAGTAAACGTCAACGTCGCCAGACACGTCCACGCCTCTCAAGGAAATGCAAAGTGAACTCGTACTCCAGTAGCCCGAGGGAAGTTTGCAGCAACATGATTCGCCGTATGAGCTCGATTTCGTAGAGCCTGGATTCAGATCAATGGATCCTGTGCTCTTATCGTTGACCCGGGACGTCCTGAATGGGGTTGCTCGTCAACATTTTTGGTTTGTTGGTACTTGTTCCATAGTCTGTAAATTACAGACTGTGAAACATTGAATGTATTGGCCACTGCACGCTGACTTCCGTTAGTTTGCCGATAACCCGTAGACTCCGCGCGTTGCAGACGCCACATCGTCATACACAAACGATGAATGAAATCAAGTATATCACAACCGTATGATAAGCAGAATCAATAAGATTGACAGAAATAATGGTCCACAGAGATTAATCAACCTTCCATAAAAGTATGTGTGTGTGGTGCTACTGCGTGTGGCACGTGCAAACTATAGGGTTGCGATTTGGTGTTACGTTTGACAGACATAAACGTTCTTGCAGATGTTTATCGTCAACTCTTCTCTGTTTTCATGCTTGGTATAAACATTTACATTGGATGCAATTTCTAACAACTTAGCCGATGATTCAGACCATGATAAACGTATTGCCAGTGCAGTAAACATGATACAGTTTGCAAGTTGCGCCAGCCCCCTACTAGGTCAACTCGCCGGTCAGCGACAGTCATGAGACCCGTGCAGTTTGCTGTTTCATCTGCTGTCCCTGTGCAGCATATTCAGCCTTTCACAGGTCAGCTTTTTCGTGGACAGGAGCAAAGGTCATGATCATGTTTCGCATGTGGTGAATACATAAATTTTAGAAGGAAATGTTCACATGTCAATAGCACAGCACCTCAGGGAATCTCAGCGAGGTGTATTGGGGCCTCAAATCAAGCCGGCCAGTAGGCCATGTCACGATCTGCCAGGTGAGTATCCTAACCATATTGAGGCTACATGCTATGCGAACATGCTAACTGATAACTCCTTTGAGTAAGGTAGACGAGCAATATTCCAGCTATATGACGACGGTCAGTAAATAATAGTCTGGATCAGACAATCCAGTGATTGACATCATGAACATCAATCCACACATTTGGGATCGATGACATGCATCAACCAAGTCAGCGAGCCTGACCACACGATCCGTTATTGCCTCTAACGACAAGCATAGTCGCCTTTTACGGCAAGCATGGGTTGCTGAAGACCTATTCTACTCTGGATCTTCACGGGTATAGGTAGTCTGTTTGGTGAGAATGATTTGCATTTTGATATGCTTGCTGTTTTTATAGAGATTAGTTTTTTGTTGTTCTGTTTTCTAGATTTGTTTCTGAATGTGTACACAGACGAACTGGATTATCTCCCTGTGTAAGTTCGCGGGTAGGATGATGGGCTTTGCTGTCGTTATCTTGAGCTGATTCTTGCACCAAAAAATATAACTATGGTTTTGCTGCTTTGACAAAAGTGGGCAATATGTAATGATATGCCTGCGCAATTACAAATATAGCCTTTACACTGCAATGTATTTAATATCGGCAGTATATCAAAGTGATTCCATTTCACCAGTTTTAACTGGATTTTATAGTTTGAGGCAAACACATTGTAGCATTGGCCTTGATAGTCCCACTGAGGATAATCTGGTCAAAAATGTTGTGGAAGCGGCCATGATAAAACATGTTTTGTCAGGTGTAAAGAAGGTGCCTATTACTGTGGATATCCTTCAACTTTTATAGACGCAAAATATGTTATTGCTAAATAAGCAGATTTTAGAATACTGGCGATGTGTTTATTAGCATATACTGGAATTCCAAGGTCAGCAGAGTTATAACTATTTCCCGTTCGGATATTTTGTTTCGTAAAAAAACGTATGCTTCTTTTCATTGAGAAGTCCAAAACAGATATTGACAGAGATGGTGCATGGCTTGTAATTGGAAGAACACATTCTAAATTGTGTCCGGTAGCTGGCCTTGAAAGATATCTAGAAGCGGCTTCTTTCTAACCAGATTCTGATTACTATGTTTTTCGTCATGTCACTAAGTGCAGTTCTGGGTACATGCTTAGGAGGGAAAATTCACAAAATTGAAAGAACTTTTTATAGAGGCCCTCCAACCACATGTTGACGATGTAGAGAAATATGGATTGCACAGTTTGTGCAATGGCGGTGCAACTGCTTCTGCTAAAAGCGGCGTCCCTGATCGTAAGTTTAAACGACACGGACAATGGAGGCGTGAGAAAGCCAAAGACGGTTACATCAAGGACAGAATTAATAACAGAATGAAAGTTTCACTTTCTCTTGGCCTCTGACTTGCTTTGCATCTCTCGTGTGTCGCACAGTGTGTTCCAATGTTGTGTTGTGATTCAGTGTGAAGGTTGGTTATAGGAGAAATTATATTTCCTTCATTTGAAGTATGAGTAGTAAGGAAATCGTTCTCTACTTGTGAGGTGCAGCTGTAATCTAGGGATTGTGTGCCCCGTTAGGTGGCATTGTTAGGTTATAAAAAGGGTAGGTGAATTTGAATTCTTCTCTCTGCCTTATTTGTAGTATTAAATAATTGTAACCGGGTTTTCTTGGCTTTATCCATTATTTTAAACAGATGACACCAAGACGGCTACGGGGTGTGAGGCTTATGTTTATTATAATCACGATAGTCACCCCTATGTGTGGCACAAGGGTGTAAAACGTGTTACCCTTGAAATGTCACCATTCATGATATGTACTCCTTTTGTGGTGATCTATGAATACTCCCAGTGCAGTGCATAGTGAAGGTAGCAATATGGGGTTAGTCAGAGCAAGAAGGTAAAGTTTGAATGTGGCCAATCACAGGATCGCTTGGGGTGTGATTGATCAGCAGAGGGCTGGACAAAGAATGTAGTTCAGCTTGGGTTGTGATTGATCACTGGAGGCTTGGAGGCGGGCTTGTTACTGGCCATGTTGACGGATGCGGGCTTTGACTTGGACTTCTGGGTATCTGATTTGGCTCGGTTCTGTTCAAATTCTATCTCACGGAGGCACAGTCTAAGCTCATCAAAGTCGGAGATACTCTCATATTTATGAGCAGCAAGACTCTTCAGGGAAGTCTTCAATCCATCCCAAAGTCTGGACCTCAACATCTCATCCTGCTCTGCGGAAGAAATCTGCTTTTGTTCCGCCAACTGGTATAACAGTCTCTCCAGTCGACAGCTCCAGGCAGTCACGTCTTCATTATTTTGCTGGTAGGAGCTGTAGAACTCCGAAAATAATGAAGAACTTCGGCGGAGAGTACCGAAAGCACTCTTTAACTTCGACAGAATACCCATAATAGAAGCATGATGACCAAGCTTCATCACAATAAGAGCTGCCTCACCCTTAAGAGACTGACGAATAGCCTGAAGGATAACAGAGTTGTCATGGGTCTCGGACTCCATGAGACAATTCACCTCATACCGCCAAACATCATAGTCAGCATCCTTGCCGGCCGTTCCACTAAACAAAGGAAGTTTAGGGAAGTGACGATAAGCAACCTTAGAACTAAGTGGCACCTGTTCTGGCTGAGAACCATCTAAAGTGGAAGCTTCTTCCTTCTTCACAACTGGACCACCCTGCGTGGCATACTGCTTCAACCAAGACTTAAAGTCATCGGGGTTATCGGCCTTAGGGTGCAAACCCATCTTAGCAAAACTATCAACAAGACTAGCATATTCTTCTTCAGAGAAATTCATCTTCAAAGGCACAAGACTCCAAGTAAAGAATAAACAAAATCAAACATGGATCCAAGGCTGGCAGTAATTATTTCACAGGCACAACACAATGACTTGAAGTGCAGTAGATGGTTGTTTGTGAATGTGTCAATAACTACAAAGACGATGTTTTTTTTAATCCCATACAAAAAGAAACATATACAGTGAGAGAACAACAATTGTATTTTCAGCGGCAAATAAACAAATTAAAGGACATCAGTTGGGTTTATATGGCAAATGCAAGTATTACACACATGGGTGATTAACAAGATTTGACCCTAGGATTAGATTATAACATGGTTTGCAGAGGCAGAATAATGAAATGTGTGGACTACAATAACTATGAGGACCACAGTGTGTCGGAACGCGTGACAATATGTACAAAACTGGTCGCGGCTCAAGGCAACGCCATCATGATGTAGACATTTCACGACAAACGCAAACGGAGCGAAAACATCGCAAACGCAAAATAATCACGAACGGCAAACGGGAATACCAATTC